TCAGCCTGGTCCAATTATTTATCTAACACAGGAAGCCACTGCACAGGGTAGTTAACCTTTAAATTCTGGCCCTGCTGCTCAGGGAACTTGGCATGGCAGCCTTTCTCACTGCCATGGAGCTGATAACCAAAAGGGTATGTGAATGTGATCCTCCTGCTCACATGAGGCAAGGGGTGACTTTCTGGCCTTGGTCTCAGGACATCTGTGCAGTTACTGACCTGTTCTTCAGCACTTTGCTCCAATTCTCAGTTATCTGGGAGCATTGAATATTTTCATTTTTTATGAGTAAAAGTGCAAAGTGATGAAGAGGTAAAACAAGCTTTTAGTCTCCAATTTGTATTCTCTGTGAAGGATTTACCTCTGGAAGGTAAATCTAAATAAGCTGTGCTTTGAAAGGTTTTAAATTACCTTGCTGATAGGAAAGATTAAATATACGTGGCTTGACTAATTCTGGTTTAGTTAATTGTATTCTGCCTAGTCATGACAGTTGTTGACTGCTGCTAGTTCAAGGGTTCATTTATTCTCTTACAATTGTGATGTGGCTGTACCCCTGAAAAAAATAAAACTTCATGTTGGGGGCTGGTGGTGGTCAGTCAGGCACAGAGGTGTTGATGGGAACAGAATGGGGATATTGCTCTGAAATGAGTGATCCTGTGACCCAGATTTGGGGACAATGCCCATAATGTTGATGTAGAGGTAAAAAGTTTGTCTTTCCATGAATGAAAGTAAGGATGTGCCTGTTGTCTTGACCACCACTCAGTGATGATGTACCAAATCCCACCGTAGTTCATTCTCTGACTGCTTTCCTTCTCTTTAGTTCTCCTGCACTTCATCTCCAAAACATTTTAACCTTTCATATTCTTTTTTTTTTTTTACCAGAGCAGCAAAAGCTCAGCAGATGGGACTGTTTAAAACAGAGATTGTTCCAGTTAAGACCACTGTTGCAGATAATGAGGGCAACAAAAAAACAATCACTGTGCACGAAGACGAAGGGATCAGGCCCTCCACAACACTGGAAGGCTTGGCAAAGCTGAAACCTGCCTTCAAAGAGGATGGGAGCACTACAGCAGGTCAGCTGAGCTGTTACATTTGTGCTGTTCTTCTGGTTTACCTGCCTTTACTAGAACAAAAAGCATGTTAATAGGTCTCTTCCAACAGGGAATGCCAGCCAGGTCAGCGATGGAGCAGCTGCTGTTCTCCTGGCAAAACGCTCCAAGGCAGCACAGCTGGGACTACCAGTGCTGGGGGTGCTGAGGTCCTTTGCTGTGGTGGGGGTCCCACCTGATGTGATGGGCATAGGGCCAGCCTATGCCATCCCTGTTGCTGTGGAAAAGGCAGGTGAGAACCATCTGGCATTCAGGCAAAGTAGACCAGACTCCTTGGAATGAGATTTAAGGTTATATTATTCAAGCTTGTGCAGCTGTTTGCCCCAGGAACAGTGAAGATAAATCTGAAACCTTAAAAGAGGTCCTTCCTCAGATTGTTGCAATGCTTTTGCCTTGTACTGGTGTGTAAATTGTCATTCACTCACCTTTGAGAAGCTCAGGAGTAAATCCCTGCACAGACTCAACAAGAGCTGACATGTGGCAAGTGATTCAGTGTTCACTTAGTGCTGTTTTCTCTTCTTTATTATGGCCAATGTGTAGGGTGATTTTGTGTTTGGTTTTTGATGGATTCTTCTCTTTACAATTTTGTCATATTACTTAGGTTTTTACCACACTTACTGGATTAAACAGCTTTTGTAGCTGATGAGCTGATTTAGCCTGGCCTGGCTGCAGCCCCATGCCCACCTGTAGCTTTATCTTCCACTCTCCAAACACCCTTCAGTCCTTAATCCCTGTGCAGAGAAATCACACTTAATCTGAGGAAACATGGCAGATTCAGTGACACAATGCCATAAACTGTGATGTTTTGCAGTCTTTGCTCTGCTGTAGATAAACTTGTTCAAGTGTAGATACCCCACATGGAGGTGAGGTTCCTCTTTCTTAGATGGAGTAGAACTGGAATTCAGAGAGGGAGGCTGTCAGGCAATTACTCTCTTTGATATAAGAGGCAAAAATAGCTCCTTTTAACTCCTGACTTTTCTGGCCCATAGGTCTGACTCTGAATGACATTGATATATATGAAATTAATGAAGCCTTTGCAAGCCAGGTGAGTGAGCATCATGTTTGTGTTGCTGCATTGCTTGGCAACTGAGTGTTTTTCAGCTCGGTCTCCAGGTTAAGATTTTCAACTTGTTCCACATATTACATCTTCAGCCAAATGTTAATAACATGTGCAGACTATTTTCCTTTTCCTTCAAATAAAAATGACCAGGACATTGCTTATACAGCTTAATATTAGAAAAAAAAAAAGTCCACTAAGAATTGGCTATTGTGCTCTCATACCAACTTGCAACATCTGTTTCACCAGGGCTGTGATTTATTGTCAGGTTGTCTGAATGTGTGTGGGCTCAGTTTGAGATGAAGTGGACAGTTTTAACTCACTTCTCTGCCTTGGATCAGTTCCACTCCTTTCCCCTGAGAACGATGGGGTCAGGCCTCTGACCTGCAGCAGGAGAGCTGAGAACTGAGACAAGAGCATCCATGAAATCATTCCCTGTGTCTTTGCAGGCTGTGTACTGTGTTGAAAAGCTGGGCATTCCCATGGAGAAGGTGAACCCCCTGGGAGGAGCCATAGCACTGGGACACCCCCTGGGCTGTACCGGTGCTCGGCAGGTCGTCACTTTGCTCAATGAACTGAAGCGCAGAGGGAAGAGGTGAGTGCTGAGCATCAGCACTGGCCTCACACCTTCTGGCTGTGCAGCTCCCACAGGCTCAGGGGTCCCCAGTTTGGGTTAAGCTTCCTCCATCCCTTGGATGAGGTAATTTTCCCTTTGGGTTAAGCTTTCTCCATCCCATGGATGGCTTTGAACCTGCATTAGCTGGGGCTCTCCTAGTGAAACAGGAGAGCAGCAGAATTTATTGTATTCTTTATTTGTTGTATTCTTTATTTTTATTTTTTTTTCTCCTAAATGATATAAATCTGAGCTGCCTTTTTCCTTAATTCCACATGGTCTTTGTTTCAGAGCATATGGAGTCGTGTCCATGTGCATTGGAACTGGCATGGGCGCCGCAGCCGTGTTCGAGTACCCGGGGAAGTGAAGTGAGCTCCAGTGCTGACACAACAACACCACAGCTCCCTCTCTGCCTTCCCTAGGCATAGCAAGTGATTTCCACTGAAATCAAGTGGGTTCTGGGATTTGTTACTAGATCTACAAATTTTAGGCAGAAATTGTGAAGTAGAATTAATGGTGCAGTTCTGCGAAGAAGGCGAGGAAATGCAAAACTGGCACATGGCTTCCTGCCATAACAGATTAGCTCAGCTGAAATTCAACTACAGCCCCATGTGTGGTGATTATGAATTAATATTTTTAATTTAATTGATCTCTTTACTCTGTGAATATTACCAGAGGGAAATAGTTCATGGGACAGTATTTTTGTATGACAAATTGGCAAAAAGAGTCACTCAAAATGAAGCCATCAGTCCACGTGAAAAGACTTTTCCAGCATTTCCTTAAAAGGTTTCACCATTTGTAAGAAGTTTAAAAGAGCTTGTTTTGAAGCAAAGACTTGACATCCTTGCCTTTATGACTGCATCTGTCCTAGCCCAATCTGAAGTTGTCTGTGTCTTAAATTGTCCCTATACTGGAGGATGGGCTGTAGCTCCCTGCTGGTGGAGCTGCTCTGAAGCCTCCAATGGGGGAAAGTGGAAGGACTGGAACATAATTTCTACAGGAAATGCCTGCATGGAAAGGTTCTCTTGAATGGCTAGAAGCCAGGATTTGGATGTGGCCATTCCTTCTTCTACATGTGTGAGTGTCAGTTTGTGTGACTCCAAGGACAATCTTATGCTTAATCATATTTACTTACCTAACACAAAGCAAATTGCAGCATTACATTTACTGCAAGCACTACATGAATATCAGTGACAGCTCAGTCCTTCAGTGTACTAATACAAGCATGTTCTGTCTTGTGTCTTTTGTCATCCCTTATTTCTTTTCTTGTCTGAACAGGAAGATCACTGAAACTCAGCTTGAAAAAGAAATTCACTCATTGCTGCTTTGAATTTGTAACAAACTGAAGTACTTTGTCCTGACTTTTGTTTTTGCACTTAATAATACAATTGGGTTCTTGCAATACATTTGTTTCCTTTTTATGATGAATTTTAGTTGAAGGTCATGATGAGTTATAGCTCTTGTTATTTTCACAATCCCATGCTGTAGCCTGTCTCACCCAGCAATCTAAGGCCCTGTCTTAGAGCCAAAAAACTGAATTATTTAGAGGGGATAATGAGCCATTTACAAAAGCCTTTTATTTAATGGAAGTGGAAAATTTAACAGATTCAGAAGTGGGAATTCCAGTGACCTTTAGCTGAAATAATACTAAAATAGTTTAAAGAGAAGTGAGAGTAAATGGGAACCATGTGGGGGGAAAGAATGAAAGGGAAGAAGGGTTTCTCCCTCTGTTGCTGAAGGGGGTGTTCTCAAGGCCCAAGCATGATGAAACACATAGGTTGGTAATTTTCCAAGGAGACCAAGGAGAGTTCTCTCTTCCCCTTTTAATGTAAGGCACTGAGAAAACAGCATGGGAAATGCTGGCCTATTCACCAACTCTTGTTTTATTATGTGTCAATGTCCATTTTAATGTCAAACAAATAAATGAGGCAAAACAAAATTTATTTTAAGGTATGAATAGTCTTTAGCTGTGATTCAAAGCATGTTGGGCTCTGCAGAGGGCTTTGGCCTGACTTACACAGGTGCTTTGCAATATAAAACTTTGTTCTGTGCCTAAAGCTAAGCTTACCACAGCAATAAAAGTAACAGTACAGAGTGTGATTACGACTGGTTAAGGTATCATTTCTTTCCACATAACCTAAATTATTTTCATTCTGCTAAAATTCCAGTCCCCACTAAAAACAACAGAAGCGGATGAAAATACAGGCTCAGCTGCTGGCACACCTGCATCCAACCTGTTACCTTGACATTTGTCCCACATTGTCCTGCTTAAGGCACCTTCTCATGGTGCACTCCTCGCCCTCTGAGGTGCAGCTTGCAAGGCTTCTCTTCCAGCATTCCAGAAATGGTCACAATAGCTTCATAGTCAGTGTTGCTCCTAAAATGCACAGCAAAAAGTTCAGTTGCAGCTACGTGCAGTTGTGTGTTTAGGGATGAGAGGAAAAGGGGAGAATGGTGTTCTAAGAATGCTCCAAGTCACAAGCACAGGTCACTAATGTTAGTGCCAAGTCCACAGGGCTGTGTTCCACAGGTACAATACATGGTGTTTGAAAAGGATGTTCAGGTCTGTGCCTGAAGACATTGGATTCATGTTTGAAAGAATGAGAATATCATCCTACTTGTGAAATTCTGGTTCAGGTGAGTAAATGAAATGAAGCTCTGCTGGGAGCAAACACCTGCACTGCCTTGATGTGAAAACTCCTCACTTTGACAAAGTTTGAAGGGAAAAGTTTCTGTCACTCCCCTAAGACAAGGGGCAGTCAGTGGAGCCCAAATTGTAAATTAACATCAAAAAGGTTGCAAAAACTAGTTTTGCACCAAGTTGAAGAGCATTATCTGCCCAAGGCTAATGCCACTCAGTTCTCCTGAGACTGTTCCTGTGAAGGACTTCTGTGTCCAAGTGCCAGCTGTTGTAAGGGCCTGAGGCAAATGCCTGTTCTACCAGTCTGTTTTTTCCTTCTCATAAAACAATTCCTCTGCAGAAAGACCACTGATTTGTGGAGGTGAATTATTAAAATCACTTCACACCTTGCATATAATTATCTCCTACTGCCACATTGATCCCACACTCTGCTGTGTTGGGAATTCTTCCTGTGGAGCCCAACAGATAAGCTGGTTGCTACACAGCAACATCTTTGCTTTGTGGTATTTCCAGGCATTTTCAGCCGTGCTGATTAGTGCATTTGTCAGACAAAAAGAAGTGCTTCAGGCATATTCAGCAGAATTCCAGAAAAATTTAGGCATTCAGGAGCCTGGGGAGGCTTCTGGACCACCATGCTCCTCTAAGTAGGAACAGTTTAGTGCAGCTGCTCAAAGCTCCATCCCACTGCAGTATCAGTGGCTCCAGTGATGGAAATCACTGGATTGTGTTCCAAGGAGATGGGAGTTATGGCAATAACTCACCTACAGTTTGCTTGAAAGTTCCCTGTCAGCAGTTTTCAGAGCTCACTGAAATCACTAGGATAGACTTATTTTAACTTGCTGCCACCATGTCATAACCTCCAAAAATACTTTGCAGTGGAATTTATATATTTTTTTACATTAGCTGTATTTCCCTAATCAGAACAAAGAAATTAAAGTCTTTGGGTCATCACAGAATCATGGAATGTTGTGGGTTGGAGGACACAGCAAACTTCATCTTGTTCCAAGCCCCTGCCCTGGCAGGAAAACGTTCCACTAGAACAGCTTGCTCAAAGCCTCACCCAGCCTGGCCTTAAACAATTCCAGAGATGGGGCAGCCACAGCTTCTCCAGGAAACCTGTGCCAGGGCCTCACCACCCTCACAGTGCAAAAGTTCTTTCTAATCTAACTCTGCCCTCTAGCCATGTGAAGCCATTCCCCCTTTCCCATCAGTCCAGGCCTTTGTCCCAAGTCCCTCTCCAGCTCTCCTGGAGCCCCTTTAGGCACTGGAAGGGGCTCTGAGGCTCCCCAGAGCCTTCTCTTTAGGCTGAACAACCCCAGCTCTCTGTGAACAGCACAATTTCAGTCCTGTTAACTGTACCTTGCAGCAAAGCTGATCTGCAGAATCTCTCTGGTAGGTGCCTCCCCTTCACGTGCCTCCAAAATGCCTTTAGTTGGGAAGATGGAAAATACTTGCATGGCCTTAGGGCTTTTCTGTTCATCTGCAGTGGAAGGGGCAAATGTCAAACAAAGGCATACAACACCCTCTGTGTAACTGTGTACTGCAAGCAGCACTCACAGCAATGCACCTCTTTGCTGAGCAACTAATCCATCATGTCTCACACTGTCAGAGGGTTTCTGTGCATGTGCCCAGACTCTGTTTTCATCTTCTAATCAAGGGCAGTGATCAGTGGTCTCCACACTGAAATAATAAGGCCCTGATCTTCTTTCCTCTGGAGCCCATCTATTATTAACAGCATTAGGCTCATCCTCAAACTGAACCCATGAGGAGCTGCTGCTTCTTACTGCCTCTCAGGACTAGTTTATAAATGAGCAGAGCACGTCCAAGAATTGTGAGGGCCGAGACTCAATCTTTTGGTTAGATGTGGAGTAACTGCTGAAATCAGTAGTGGTACAATCATATCAAAAAAGGGAGGGGAAAGATAGAAGGGGAAAAGCCCACATAAGTGAGAACAAAAGCAGACCATGTTTGCACCTAGGATCATCACATACTGCCCCTATATTGAGTGAGTGCATGCAGTCCTCGTGAAACTCTGTAACAAGGAAATCAATTGCAAAACCAGAATACCCAGCAAAGCAGTCCAGTAGCTTCTGCAGCCACTCCTGTTATACAGGAAGACATGTTCTGTCTTGGTCTGTGCAACAAAGCAGGTCTGGAAATCAATCCTGTCACAGGAGAGCTCCAGGACTGGAACAGTGAGGTAGGCAGTCAATGGGACCAGCTGCAAAACAGGGGAAAGGGAAAAGACAATAAAACCCACCTCATTTTTATAGAGCTTTAGTAATTCCTGCTCTATCTGGATCATTCTTAACCCCAACCACTGAATCAAGAATTTTTGTAGTGATCTTTCACAATAGAGTCAATTCCCATTCTACAGCCTTGAGTGAATTAAGTTGTTGCTTGTGTGTTACTTTTTTGGGACAGGTTTTCAAAGCAGACACTGTGGTCTTAATGAAGGAACATGGAGTGAACAGTCTCATTTGTTTTTAGGGTTTTCTGTGGAACTGCAGACATTACAGCATCTCCTGGTCCCTCAGGACTGTATATGGCCCACTATGAGTCATTCAGTTTGTGCAGATTGCCCAAGATTATGATTCACTTGACTGTATCTTAGGTATGGTGCTCAGTCTTACACAGGTCATGCCTCAGAAATACCTGCTTTGAAAAGAAAATAGAAATGCCTGCAGTGTACTGGGTGCTGGAGGCTGGGTTATAGATTTCTGACTGGAAGGGATCAGTCTTTACATGCACGTGGGCTGTGACCACACTGCAGGAGCTCAGCAGACTCAGGAGCCTTTCCAGAAGCCCTTGGTTGCTGCAGGAGGCATTGCCTGGTGACTCAGGCATGGCTTGTTCCCTGAGACAGCCCTGGCCCCTGTCTCAGAGTCATCCTGTGACTGGGTGTGTGGCCCTTTGAGTGTCACCCGGGCTGCCATGCACAGCTGGGGTACCAGCACCAGGGTGTGACCCCAACCTGCACAGCCCACCTGGGAATCACCTGCAGTCTCAGCAGAGAGCAACCCCACAGCCATTTACTCCAAAGTTGCCTGTAATTCAAGGCTGAGTAAATCCTAATCCAAGTCAGAGACGCTGCTGAAACAGCCCTTTCCCAGGGCCCAGAGACCCTGTCCTGACCTTACCTGGGAAGTGTAATTACTGTGCTCAATGACCAGATTTTGATTAAACTTCAGCTTTCTCTCTCCACTCTCCAGCTGGAGCACTTGGCATCCAGGAAGCAGCTGGGTCTCTGGCAAATGCTGATACCTGAGTAGCTCCAGATTTGTGTGGAATGACACTTTCACCTGTGGGAAGAGGAATTCTGATGACCATCACATAAGATGACAACTGTGTGCAGGAAATCCTAAGTACACAAAGGCCCAGGCACACATTTTCCCACTGGAACCCAAAGGTGTCATGCCAGCAGCCAAACTCCCACTGGAACAAAGCAATACAATTAAAGAAAAAAACCACAGCTATTTCCTATGAATGCAGTACACAGAGATGGAGTGTAAAGGTGAACAGCTGATCTCTGAACCACAGGGGAGAAACAGTCTCTAGCAAGCCAAAAGTTATGAGTTCCTGAGGGTACAAATATCACATTCCCAAAGCTGTCTTAGACATCTAAATCCTACTTCTTCCCCCACATGCAGAATTGAGATGTGTCTCCATGTCAAAATGAACACAGCAAAAAGTGAAGCACGCTTCAAAAATGCAACAGTTACTCATTCTTTGCAGGTTACCTAATTCTCTACTCTGGGACTTCATTTCCTTTAATGTAATTTGTACACCCAAAACCAATCAAATTTTCCTCTCCTTGCTCTGCCTGCATCTAATTTAAGGAAATGAGGGAAGACTGCAGTCCTTGGAAATCTTTTAATTTGTCCAACATATATATGGCTATTGATTTAAGTGAGCTCCAAACTCACAGGGTTTTCTGCAGGAATTTGCAGCAGGTCAGAGTTGATGGGAAAAGCACATCAGGAACAGAAAAAGATTATCTGCAGAAAATAAATAATCTGTATCTGCAATGTAGCAGGCAAAATGGCAGTAATTAGCATTTGCTAATACAGCACCACTCCCCCGAAACTGGGAGATTTCTATGCCAGTTGTGTTTTCCTGTGGTTCTTCTGGGCCACACTAACACACCAATTACAAAACTCCCTAATCTGGCACAGGATCATTCTTTTTGAGCCTACCAGCATGTTTTGCTGTGGATAAAGTACATGTTGCAGTTGCTGTTCCCTTTCCTCCTTCTTGCTGTGGGATGTTTCAGTGTTCTTTTTGGGATCTGTGCTGGAGAGGCTGAAGGGCATAGAGGGTGTAGACAGAAAAAGCCTGAAGTACAGCCGAATCTTGGTACAATTCATGAGTTTCAAACTCTGAGTAATTACTGCATCTGTCAAAACCTGGGGGAGAAATGATTCAGAACTGGTCAGTTTTAACTCCCTGGAGAGGTCTGTGTTGTTCTGTCTGGTCATGGAGCACCAGCAGGGCTCTAAAGGATTTTACCCCAAAGCAACCCAGTATTTTCTACCTGTGTTACTCAACATTTCTTAAGTGAAAAACCAAAATAAAAGTAACATAATAAAGTCTAAGTTTTCAAATGCCAAGGGTCACACAACTGAAGTGACTCATTTTGCTTTTGGACCTTTATGTCCTGAAAATCAGAAATTATTTTTCTACTTAAAAACTCCCCTACAATGAAAGAAAAATTTGAATAAAACAGGCATTGTGTGAACTCAGCTTTTCTTATTCCTGGCTAATAAGTAATTAGAGTGCTTTTGGTTTTTTTTTGTTCCCTATCTTGTTATGTGCAATGCAGAAAATGAGGCTATTGGTGATTAGGATGCATTTTCACAGCCATGTGCACACAGCTATGAATTCTCCCAGCAGCACAGCAATACAAATACATCAGTGTGGGAAATACTCACTCCAAAAAAAGGCTTAGCAGGCAGGAGATCACTCGCCACTGAATAAAACACCATTCCTCTATCGTGATCCATCTCCACTTCTAACCTGAATGTAAAGAACCAGGGCTGGTCACAGCCCTGTGCCAGGCTGACCCATTCCATGAGGGTGGCAGCTGTGAGCTGTGGGACTTACAGGGGATGCCTCAGGACAGCCTCCATGTGCACTCGTAAGGGTGGAGCTCCATAGCCGTGACTGCGCCGCACCTTGCTGGGCACCCTCCTTGCAAGCTGACAACAGCAAGGGAACAGAAATCATGTGGGAAATGGTAGCACTAAACCTGAAATGCTGCTTTGAGCCCCAGAGGCTGTCAGCCAAAATAGCATTCTGTTTGGCAAGGTAGTGCCCTGTTTGTAAGACATGATGGAACAGCACAGGCCAAGCAGAAGCTGGACTCTGAATGGCTCTGGGTGATACAGATGCAGGGCAGGTTTAGATCAGATGTTGGGAAGAAATTCTTCACTCTGAGGGTGGTGAGGCCCTGGAACAGGTTCCCTGGAGAATCTGTGGATGCCCCATCTCTGGAAACATTCAAGACCAAGCTGGATGGAGTGTGGAACAACTTTTTCTGGTTAAAGATTTGCTGCCCATGGCAGGGGGGTGGAGCTATTTGGTCCTTTCCAACTCATACCATTCCAGGACACTATTATTCTACAGTCCTTTCTTCAGGAATAAGGATTATTAGAGATGTTTTTACTGAACATTCTATTAGCATTCATTCAGGTTACCTTGCACCTTTGCAATAATTAATGTCAGGGAATTGCTGAGCCATTCATAAAACCCTGTTCAAGCCTCACATCAGCAGTTGTTGAAAAGGAAGTTTCCCAGAGGAGAGATATGCTGTCCAAATTCACACAGGAAGGTGGATGCAGAGCCAGGAACAGGATTCAGCACTCCTGAGTCTCACTTCCATTGTTAACTACTGTTATCAATAAAACCTGATGTTGTGATAGCATTTCACACCCCTGGGCTTTTGTCTGAGGTGTGCTGCCCCAGACAATGCAAGAAGATGGTGACATTCCCAGCCCAGAATGCTTCCAAGCTCAAAAGAGAAATGCAACAGATGAATAACCCTGGTTAAGGAAGGATGTACAGGATAGCAGGAACAGGACTGTTTACACAGACTGGCCAGGTAACAGCAGCCTGTACATAAATTACAGGAAGGGAAATTATATTCCCCTTTGGCCTTGCTGTGACAGTCAGTTTACCTTGTCGTCCAGGCTCATGAAGCCCAGCAACAGCCCGTCACAACACAGCTCAGCCTCGGTGTCCGGGAGGACGAGCGGGGTGAAGGAGATGTAAACGTCGCTGCTGCCACCTCCTGGAACCACCTGCGGCCGGGAGAGAGCGTTCAGTGCACGGACCCGCCGGGGATTGCACAAGAAGCTCGGGACTCAGCTGCCAAAACTGAGTTGCACAAGCAGCATGCAATCCCTCGGGCACGGGCTTGCACGAAAATGCCAACATGTGACAGCAAAACTGACAATTACTTCAACTGCAAATATCACTGTGGCCACTTTTTAGCATCAACAGAGCTTAAGCACAGTCACAGACCAACCGTCTAAGTACACAAGCACATCTATTTGTTTTTAAAAATACCTAGTTCTGCCCACTCTTACTCCCTGGCTACCTCAGGTGATTACTCCACAACTTACACATATATGAAACATTTTTCGAAGAGTTACAAGTGTGAACTAAGAGTATTTTACAGTTCAGTTTAGTCTTGGCTATTTTTTAATTTTACATGACAGCAGGGAATGTAATCACATGCACTAGCCAGCTGCAGTGGATTTTCTGGGATTTACAGGTTGACTAGATTCTGCTTTCTTCAGGTGAATTGTGCAGGTTATGGTTAAATCTTGATATTGCTGCTGGATACATCCCACAAAAGCTGCCTCCACAGTGAGGCACTTGTTTGTCTGACCTTTCTTGGCCTCAGCCACCTCAGAGCTGACTGCAGCTTAATTTCTGTCATCATTTCTTTTATGTAATCTTTAACTTGTAACTGAAACACTTTGGCAAAAAAATATTTAAAAATAAAATTGGCACACTGATGCTTTGGGCAACCCTGTCACTCATAGCTAGATTTTTCCAGGGCTGTCTTTATGATATACTTAAGGGATTGTGACACTGTGGCCTGTATTTGCACAACTCACTTGAGAAGCACTGTGGGTTACAATGGTTTATCCACGAGTTATCTCCAGAGGACCACATTCCAGCAGCCTGATTTCCAGCTCTGCATGTTACCACAGCTTCAGCCTGGATGGCTCCCTGGATTTCACCATGCCAGCCCAAGTGAGAAGACCAGAGAACTCTGGAGTACAACTAACACTTAAGTCCAGTCATCAGGTCACTGCTCAGATGTAGATAGGACACTTTCTGTTGACCTTGCAAACTCCTCTCATGATCATCTCCAAAGCCTTCCAGCCTGGTGTGTCACTGTTTAATAGAGTCTACCTTAAACCAAATTCAAAGCTACCTCTTCTCCTTCCTCTGTCTCCTCTGCCCTACACAAAATATGCTAAATCTAAGCCCAAAGAAAATGTAAAAGCTTACAATCTGCCTTGGAGCAACGGAGTAGGGGATGTCTGCAGGCACCCCCTCATGAGGTCGGATAAGTACAGAGATATTTTTCTCTCCTGCAGACTCCTGACTGCTGATTTCCATCTCTTTGCTGTCAGAACCTGAAGGCTGCAGAGACACAGGGGTGGGGAATGGTTAAAACTGTTACACTGCAAGGCAGGAATGTGAGTGATGTGCACAGGGAACTGGTCAGGAAGCATGGCCAGCTCCAGTTTCTTTCTGGCACAAGGGCTGGACACGTGGATGTGTCCTGTACATCAATTTTCTCATCCACAGAGTAGCTCTGCTGAAATTGCTCCTGAATTCCTTGGAAAGTGTGCATGCTTGGGGCCAATTCTACCTAGAGAAGCACCCAGTCATGACACCTCTGGCCCATTATACAAACCAGCACTCTGGGGCAGTACTCTTCCCTTTGTGCAGAAGACAGGTTAGAGCTGTGTTCAGAACTGTGCATGCTGAGCTGAAGCAGAGAAAATGTGATTTTAGCATCTTTTGTGTGAAGCTTTTGCCAGAGCAATATACAATATCCTGGGAGATACCTTCTCCCTGTCACTCCCAGCCCCTCAAGACACTAAATTGCCACATTATAATCAAACCTCATATGTAATAGATGTTACCATAGTCTAGCAGAACCAATCTAATTTTAGCACTGGGATGAATACCTCCATATCATTAGCTTCAATTTGAAATTTGCAGGGTAGGTTCTGCTCCTTGACTACAACACATGTTGACACCAGAAAGCACCCACGAGAAAAGCAGAGCCAAATTAAGGAGTTTTAGTTATTTGAATTCTTTCATGTAATAATGACAATAGTTTGTCAGTGAAAGTATTTTAAATAGTAATTTTTTAGTTTTTTAACACTTTTAAGGAGAGCTAATTGCTTATAGCTCACTCTGGAAACAGATTGCTGATCTCCACCTACCTACATATTGTGTGTTTGACTGGGAGAGGAGCTGACATTTCTTTTAACAATCCAGCTCTTAGTTACAAGTTCTATCTCCTGTTATTGTTTTCAACCCTTCATGCCAAAAAACCCATCATGTATCTCAGCAGCAGTATAAGAAACATCCTAAGAGCTGACCTCATCTGTGGTTTCCAAAGCTGGATAAATGCTCCCATAGGGAATGGCAGCTGGATCCAGCTTTAACACGACCTCTGACTCTGAGGTGCTACCACTTGATGCAGCCTCATCTCCAGCCATGTCCACAGGAGGAAAAGGGTCTCCAAAGAGCACCAAGAGGTCCACCAGCTTTTCATCATCTGGCTCTTGGTTGTAAACTTCCAAGTCCAGGCGGATGTCTGAATGGGAAAGGAAAAAGGACAATTACTTCTAGCCAGTGAGGGCTCATGGCGTAGTTGGTACAAGAATATCAAGTAACAGATTTGTGTCTGGCAACTGGATTTGTATTAAATGTATCTCTTAGGTTTCCCATATTTGCAAATGAAAATAATTTAAGAGCTTGCTATAGTTTGGCCACTTTCTATGTCCTAAACTATAAACAAAATACTCTCATTTATTTTGGTTAAGCAAATGGATTTAGCCGAATTTTTTAAAAGAAAAAGGTGATTGACTTTGCTCTGAAAAGGTTTCACTCAGGAGCTAAAAAGACTAAACAGAAGAGCCAGATGATGCCAGTAAAAAGCAGGTAGCACATCTGATTGACCAGGCTTAGTGTTGTAAGAAATTCATAAAATGCAAAATCCTGAATTCCCACCATTTCAAAGAGGGAAAACCCAGCTACATCAAGATGGGATGTGCAATTGCATAGTGGCAACCCAATGAGTCACTCTCTGTTTTTTTTACTAAAACCATCTTCATTAGGAAACAAGTATGCCTGTCAATTAACAGGTTAATGGGCCCTTCTACTTTTATTTCTATAAGAAACACAATGAAAGCATCAATGTTTGCTGTACAAAACCATCCTTACCAAAGGGACTGGGATTGTTGAGCTGGACCCTCCGAAGCACAGGGGACCCTCCTGAGACTTGAGTGCCAAACCTGGACAGGGAACCTTGCTGTCAGTGCATGCAGAGAACAGAAGTGTCTGAAAACACTGAAGAGTTGTTTAAAAGTGGAAACCAAGCTGGCTGCACTGAAGTGGCTCTCAGGTAAAGCATGGCCTACATTGTGAAGTACAATATTGGTTTATTTTATCTGTCTCTTTTCTTTTTTCCCCAGTTTTTTTCAGCTGTCTCAGACATTTCAGAGTAACCATGTGCAGTGCTAGGGTTCCCCCAAAACCAACCCTTAGCCCTCATCCCAAGGTGCAGATGCCATTTGCTGTATGAGAGGGTTTAAACCTTCCCCTGCCACTATTGACCTCAGGGCTGCATTTTTCCTGGTCCAGGTAAAGGGCCAGGGAGAAATGAGCTGAGGGTGATGAGAACTGCTACCATGTGCCAGTTGCCATCTCCACAGAGCCAGATGAGGCTGCGCTGGGTGAAATTCTACAACTGCAAGCCCAGAATAGAGGCTTCAGAAGTTGAAGTCTGCCAGCAGTCTTGTAGGGCAGATTATTTTCTAATTGTGTTGGCAGAGAAAAATGTATTGATGTTCTAGAAGCAGATACTGTGCTTTGACTGTCACTTTGCTGACCTTCTCATTATATCACAAGGTGGAACAGGTGTGTATGTTGGCTGCAGTCCATTGGCATTTCATTCTCTGATTTGCCTGACAGTATTTTGCACTATACCTGATAATGGGTGGCTCTGGTTTTGGTCCTGTCATCTGCAGGAAGATTGGACAGCCTTTCACAGTCATTTGCATAGGAATTAATTTAGGTTGTAAGTCTCCCACCTATTAAAATGAATTTTTGCTATTAGAATCAAGATTTGCTATCAGAATCAAGAACACCTTAGTTCTCTGTGTTACAAGATTATGTTTTGCAAACTGATTGGATTTTCAAATATTTTTGACTAGTTTCCTTTGACAGCCTCTAATTCATCTGCTAACAACAACTCTTCTCAGCAGGAGAATGCAATACCTCATGCATTTATCAGCTTTCCTGCAGCTTTTCTACAAAACACAGTCTATGGTATTGGTAGAGCAGAGCAGTGCACTGGCCAGCTCCCAAACAGATGTTATGAATCAAAACTACTCCAGCCATTTTCAAGGCACATGAAAACCTCCAAGAGAATAAACATGTCCCCCTCAAACCAAACAATTGTTCCTTACATGTCATTGGAAGTAGTGGTATATAGCAAGATTCATTGTGAATTTTTACAGAAGGCTTAAAAAACTGAAGTATTTCTAAAAGAAAGGCATCCAGGAAATACAATTGGTGTAAAATCTGCCATGGTAAAACCAAAACCCCACCTACCTTACAGACCAGGTTATCCTGGTACTCTCCCCACATGTTGTTGTAAGCTGCTATTTCTATGGTGAGCTGCTGGAAAGCTTCCAGAGTTCCTGTGGAAGGTTGGATGTGGAAAGCTGCTCCCTTCCCCTGAGACAGCAACGCTGCTGCAAACTCTGAAGAAGCAGAGCAAAGAAGCATTTCATCAGTTTTGAGGAAATGGAACAAAGTTAGTCTTTCGAAGAATACACAGGACCATGATTTTAGTTGCCTTTAATCTGCTTAACCTCACTCACTTAGAAGCCCTGGGATCATTTACTCAGCTCACATTTACACCACTTCAAAGTTCCCTTCTGCAGTGGGTCTTACTCTGTTTTTCAGAGTTAGTGCTTGCCCAGAATATTTTACAACAGGACAACCCTTCCAACAACCTGATCCAGGACTCTTTTGGATATGCAAGGCACTAACTGGTTACCTGAAAAAAACTAAGAAAAATAGGCTGGGATTTGTGCTGACTGTTTCTTGTTCCACTGGCAGCTGCCTGTTTACCTCTGTGCGCTCTTCCATGCAAAGAATTAATTACAAAGAGCAAAGCCTTTCCACATTCTGAGTCACCTAGGCCTGCATGGAATCTGTCAGAACAGCATTTTTCTAATCTTAAGCACTAATTCAACAGCTGAAAAGCTCTGTCTGTGGAACAGATACCAAACTCTATGGCAAGGTACCAATATGTGCAAGTTTTATTTTGGATACAGAAAACACATCCACACTTCACAGCTTTTGCTCCCATTTCCTCCCTCCCTCAGTCTCATGTGGCTGTAAATATTAACATTTTTCAGTACAACACATCAGAAATGACAGATGGGCTGTGCTGTAGCTTTCCAGAGTGAGGAGGGTATGGTAAAGCGTTTGAGGGAGAAAAGCTTGCTGCACTGGTACTGGAAAACTGTGGAGGAGAGAAAGAGCCAAACGTCCTGCATGTCATCCATCCCGTGTACTGGGAGTGTTCTAGGAGTGAACTGGCACCAGAATCAACTGGTGCCATCAACTTTGCTTCATACTGTTGTTTGCAAGAGAAAGATGAAGAAGCGAGAGAAAGAAAGGGAGGAGAAAAAAGCAGAAGGGGAAGAGAGAGATTGACCTAATGCTTATACAAGATGGGCTTTCAAACTCAGGAATGAACAGATGAATTATGTAATTTAACAGTTTAGACTTCACCAGAGACTCCAACACTGAGAAGATGTGCCTGACTGACACATTTAGTGCTGAATATGGCATTCGGCTGGCTTTCACTTTCTCTCCACTGAAGAGATAATTTTCATACCTGACTTTACTTTTCTGGCTGCATGCTCTGTGACAGGCCCCCTTCTTTTCACCAGGTAGCTTGGAGAGCATGAAAAAAAAAAAAAAAAAGTCTGATTTCAGGTTTAAACCAGACCTAAATTAGTATTTGAGTCATTATGCAGAACAGCAAGACTCACGGGCAGGCTCCTTGTTCTGGAGGCACCAAACAGGCACTAAAATACTCAGCTTCCAGTGTGAATGGAACACTGATTGCAGTGAGATTTGTTAGAATCAGCTGATGCTTCACAACATCTTGGAGTGCAACTTCAGACCCAAAGTCCAAAAGAAGCTCACGTGGGCTTTGTGGCATTTGTCCTTCACCACTGCCAGAAAAAATAACAGTAGTATTTAGATAACAGTCTTATTTTCTTATGCCACAGATGATTTCAGGAGATTTAATAATGTGCAACATGCAATGTGGTTGCACAGTGTAAAAGGACCATGCAGTCTATGATTTTTGCCATCAGCATTTTCTGCTTTTCATTTTTTCATTTCAACCCATACAAGGATTTATTTGGGGTCAAATTTTTATCCTGTATAACATGCCAGTCTACCAAATTAAATACATATTTACTTATATGAAAAGATATAGAGATGAGCATGTTCCAAAATATAGCCATCATTCTATGCATCAGAAAAGTGAAATAAAAATCAGTCAGATATTACCTGTCAACTCCACTGCCAGAAGGTACTGAGTAGGTGACATGTAGTCCCTTCACTTCTCCAGAAATGCTCAGGAAGAGGGGCTCAGCCATGTCTTCTATGCTACAGGAAAGTGTCAGGTCTTTCAGCTCACCCTGAAAAGCAAAGAATCAAGTTTTCTTGTGAATGAAGCATGTATCACAGAGGAAAGAAAGATTCTTTAGGATATTTATTTTCAAAAAGTGTGTCAACTTCCCTGCATGAAACCCAGAACAACAGAATTGTGAGAAGTTTTACTGAATTGTTTTTCATGCATTTTCTACAGCCTCAGAGCTACTTAGAAGGCAGTACTGAGGTAAAAATTTGTGGCTGTTTCTCAGCTTTGTACCTGCAGTTGTCTGTGAGCCTAAAACTGCTCCATTACTGATTTCTGACACAATTCCTATGCTCCAAGTATTGAATCATAGAATCTTTTAGGTTGGAAAAGACTTCTGAGATGATTGAGTCCAAACATTAATCCAGCACTGCCAACGCCACCACTACACCATGTTCCCAAGTGCCACAGATACATAATTTTAAATACTAACTCTGATTAGTGCTGAATACCTACTTTTAAGCAAATAAATGAAACCCAAGTCTCCAGTGACTGTAATGGGAACTAAGACACCATAGCTGTAGGAAGATCCTGTATTTAGCTGCTTAGTTCAGCTGTTTACCAGTGACTGTAATGAAAACTAAGACACCATATCTGTAGGAAGATCCTGTATTTAGCTGCTTTAGCTCAGCTGTTTGAAGGCCCTTGTAAAGTCTTTTTCTGAATTTCTGCTCCTGTATTTTGCACACTCTCAGTCCCATCAGCCCCTTTTAAGTTTTCAAATATCAAAATGTTATGAGCATAACTGCATTCAGAAAACCAAATATACACTGTATATGCCACTCTGCTCCATATCATTCCAGATAATCTAAAGTGAGGATCTGTATGCTCCAAGAAGAGTGAAAAGCATTAAGAGCAATTGTACAGGACGTCAAGAAAGGAAGAAAACAGGAAAAGCTGATATATAAAGAGGCAGGATGGAAACTGCACGTCACGTGCACTTCTTTAATTCTTGCCTTCAACAGTGGTACCTCTAAAGCAAAGCCATTTCAGAGATATTGTATGGGAAAAAGAGCCCGTGGTTTTGTACACAGAATTCCTTCCTTTTGCCAGATGGAGGTGAGATGAAAAAGCCAGTGTTGCTGTTTTTATAAAAGTGCATCAGTTTGTAAACTTACCACAGTGTTAGATGACAGCTCAATGCAGAATTCCTTCTCTTCATTTGGGCCTAAGGTGCCACTGGCAGGGGACACCACGATGGAGCAGGAAGCTGCCTGGCTTCCAATGGGCTGCCAAACAGAAAGGACACTCAGCTCATGCTGCTTCCCTCACACTGCCTCTTCTAAAAACACCAAGCTGTTCTCAGGATTAGGACACTTTCAGGCAGCAACACCTACAGTTTGTCTAGACTGGCTTTACAATTCCCCATGGGCGACAAGATCCTCATGCCTACATTCACTCCAAGTAACTTCAGGTGCCCAGCTGCTGGGCTGGGAGCAGAGCCACTGTCATCCTTCTCACAGTCTCAAGCCTTTTCAGGGTGAAGCCAATCTATCTGATATCAGAGCAGGATCCAGATGTGCCCCATCTCTCTCCACTACAGAGGTGGGGGAGACACAGTCCTGGTGTTGGCACCTTCCCTAAGAGGCCAGCATAGAATGTACCCAGGGCTTCCACTCACTTGTTCACACATCAACATTACACATCAGGAAAAATGCTCTACATATTCTTCCCAGGCTCCAGATGCTCCAAAGTGTTTCCTGTAGGTCCTACACCATGCACATGCTCTGTTAGGATCCCTTGGGCACCTGAGGACATCTGGAGTGGCACTGAGTGCTTTTATGTAGGCAACCCTGGATGTCAGAGTAGATCTGAATGACCAAGGCACTGACAAATTTCCATTGACTGAAAAGAGAGTTCAGACCACAGCTTAAATACTGATATTAAGTTTGGGTTCCTACTCTGTAAGCTGAATCCCAGCCAGAATGTGAAATTTAAACAGAATTCAGACACAATCCAAAAGCACCATAATTTCTTTGTTTTACTAAATTAAGTGCAAACCCTAAACTGCCACTGTACTTTATTTAACACTCTGGTGGCTTTACATCCTATGACCCCTCACATCTGCTCATCCATTTTCCCAGGGATCCACAGACAGTAAGAACATCATGACATCAACTGGTAATTAATCTTTTAATAAAGGTTGGTCTAAAGCTGAAGTTCTGCTCCCAAGCCAGTAAAACAATAATGAACAGTCAAAAGATGCATCAGAAAAGCTTTTAAGAATAGCCATTATTTGTATTCCTACAGAAATTGCAACTTCCATCCCTGCTGTACTCTTCACCTATTAGATGAGCATTTACCTTTCCCCATAAGTATTTTGCTGGCAGCAGTGTCTGGTTAAAAAGTTTACTGGTTGCTTTGACAGGAACTCCAGTATAAATTTCAGTGAATACTAGATGACTAGATATCAGGCATGCTTGGGGGGTCTGAACTTCAACAAAAACAGGAAGATGACTGGAAATAAACACACAGATGGTCTATTGTTATTGTTAATGAAACATGCTAGACATAAAACAGCATGCTGGGAAGAACGATGCTTATGTTTATTTAGCAATATTAGAAATTTGATAGTTCATTGATAGGTTACACAACCCCACTGTGAGTTCATATTTTTGCTGTAGGAGAGAAAACTACCTGAAGTGAAAACCAGATGTGAACCTCAGGAAAAACAAAACAAATGCTGCTCTTCCTCCTTACCTTCCTTCTCCATTTTCCACCTCCAGTTCCAGCACTGTCTGGAGACGCTGGCACTGCAGTGCTGTGAAGTGAACTGAAACTGTGCATAGACCCAAAGGAGGAATTTTCCCAGCTGATGGCTGGATGGTGAAGGTGGATACCTGGGAGAGGAAAGAGTGAACAGAAATTTTTTTGACATGTGCAAAGCAAGGGTAAAACGTTGAAGCCACACAATCTAATTAGGGCTTCCAAGTGTCTAATTTTTCCTCAGATGAGACCTCTCTCTCTGCCCCTTAAGTCCCACCTGGGCTGGTGTCAGGAAGCACAGTGCCAGCTTTGTGAAATCCTGGCTAAACAAGGAGGCAGGGCTTTGCTTCAGTCAGAGCCAAGGGCACAGCAGGGTCAGCTGTGCATGGACTGACAGGGAATGTGAAGGAGAAGCAATCAGCCTCAGCAGCAGCACCAGCTCCCAGGCAGCAGCAAGGTGCCACGAGTGGGAAAGATTCTTGGACAGAAGGGTGAAGAAAGAGGGTTGGGGACTGGACACAGGAAGAGCATCAGCAAGGAGTGGGGGCTCAGATTCTTGTCCAAGATGCTGGTGTGGGTGTGTGGGGAGGAGTGTTCAGCAGTCTCAGCTCTACTAAAGCCTTGAACTCTTAGTTCTAGCAGCAGCAGCTGAAATAACTGTCATTCAGGAAATACTCTATGTCTCTTTGGATCAGGCTGGCAGGGCATTTGAAATAAAGGGAAATAGAGAAAAATTGTAAAGAAGTATTCAATCTCAAAAGAACTCATGCACTTATGAAACTGTGCAGGACTAGTTTCATAAGAAGTCACAAAAATTAGAACTTCTGATAGCTGGAATGAATAATACAACTCCTAAACAGAAGAAATAAAATAGCTAAGGAGGGACTACAGCCAGCTGTAGCAGTGACTTACCTCTTCATTTCTTTGAGCTAGAAAAACCTGGCTTTCTTGCATCCTCCACTGTGCTGGCACCTGAGAGAGATTATTAATCTCAAAGGTTCTTGACACAGTCTCACCCTGCTTAGTCAAACCAAACCGGAGTGATGGAACATCAATACAAAGTAATGGACCCTAGGACAGCAGGAAACAGACATCAGAATGGACACCACTGCCAAAACTGCCTCATTAAGAAACATGTTATTATCTAGGATTAAAATTTCATTTCACAGAGAATATCAGAAAGCAAATGCACTGTGTAATGCAGAAAAATTCTGTGTGTCATGGGAATATCAACATTGACTCAATAGTCACTACAGCAAAAATAACTCCTGCTTGTAACCACTTAAGATTTCTCAAGCTATTGAGAAGCAAAAAAAGCTTTATTTGGACAATGGCCAGGCCACACAGCTCATCCTCCTGCAAGACTGAACTGCTCCTTACCTTAAAAGCAGCCTCAACATGCAGCATAACTGGCTCTGGACACAGCTCAATGTGACAGGGCAGGTTACGGCTGATGACCCCAGGTTTGCTTCCAGAAATTGCCAGTACAAATTCACAGCATTTATTCACATCTAGAACAGAAAACACCAGGCTCCTGTCTCACTTTTTTTGTAAGAAACCACCTGCTTCAAGCATGAAGCTACTGGAATGAAATTAAGTCTCCTGCTGGCTCCAGTGGGCTGGAGATCAGGTAATTTTTCAGTTTGCATTATAGTGCTCTGTGACTATCATAAATTGATACAATCAATTACTGTATCTTTCATTAATTACTGCTTGCAAGTCACAGAAACTTTACCTATGACACCAGTACGAGGTTCAACTTCGATGATCTCAGAGTCTGTGATTTTCTCCCATGTGTACTTGATCAATGTTTTGCTGTTGTTCCACAGCTGAAACAATTAAAATAAATGAGACAACTAAGGCACTTTAAGCTTTCAGAGCAACAAGTCAATTTGTTGAGAGCACTGATACACTGCAAACTAGGTTTTGTGAGTCATCATTTATTTAACAGTATCTCCTTCACATGGGTGAAGGTGTTCCCTCAAACCTGAAGAGAATCCATTAACAATTCATTCCAAAAACATTATAATATTTGAGACACTTAAACTTCCCCCCATTTTTCAAAAATGTAACAGAATTTCTAAACATAAACTGAAAATCTTTTGAGTGCAGCTTTTTTTTTTTTTTTTCTTTGCCAAAGGCTTTGTTTGTGAGGGAGATGCAAGCTCTTGAAATGTTTGGCCTGCTCTTCAGATCTAGTCAAAACATTATTTCTTAACTACAGCAAATAACTTTGTTCTCTGAAGTGCAATTATCTCTAAGCACAGTTCAAATTCTTATCTTTTTAAAGACTAAAAAAACCCAACTGGAAACTGCAAAGGATGTTGTTATATCACCAGTAAGTGGCTTAATTACCTCTATCACATGTGTAGTTATACTGGGTTACTGGGAAGTATGAAATAGCTGCCTTAAATTGAAAAAAAAAAAAAGTTCTAGGGAGAGAAATCTTAAAACCAAAGGCTGATTAGCAGTATCTCTAAGAAAAAATGGGAAAATCAATAACTGGGAAATGTCTTCCTGCCTGGCTCTTGCTAACAGGCCTGTTTTTCCCAAGTGAGTCTAAGATCAAAAGGATCCTGATCTGTAGGGAAGGGGATGCTGTGTGAGGGGCCAAGTGCAGCAGCATTCTGTCCCAGAATGGCCAAAGAGAAATTACCAGAACCTGCAGGAAAGAATAACATCTAGTAAGCTGCAGCATGTGTGATTTTTGTAATTCTGTGCTTCCTGTAGTTCTTTGCATGAACAATGCTCAGCTATGAAGTAATTTAATCATCCATTGACTATTCCTCCCAGCTGGAATACTTTTACACTACAGGAGTGACAGAGTGATAAGCAATAGGTTAGTGACCCAGAAAAACATTGAGAGGGGTCAAACTCTGTGGTATCAAACTGGAGAGATGAAAAAGGAACTAAGGCTGGTGCCTGGAGTGAAGGGCTGAGCAGGCTGGGTAGGGCATTTCAGTGCAGACCCTTCTGGATTCATGGCTTCCTTTAAAAACATTTCAGGAAAACTAAAATAACAATGACAGTCTGATATCTTCTAATAACACCTATGACATCCAGTGACACAAACCACATGACAACAGTGAAGTTAAAAGCACACAAACCTTAAATGTTTTCTTGACATTTACACCAACGAAATTTTCTCCAGGGATAATAATGGCATATGGTTCCAGAAGAAGATGAAATGGTTCTGTTAAGCCTTTAACTTCTATTTCCAGTGCTATTACATCCTCTGCTCTGCATCCTGGGATGTTTTGAAGCATCCTCTCTTCTACTAAACTTTGGGAGGAAATGTGGTAGAGTCATTAAATATGTTTAACCTGTGTTAAATTGGATCCTGTCTTTTAATCACCAGATCAAAACTGATAACCATCCATACAAGTACAGATCGCCTGTGGGCAATTAGCTCAGCCAATTAAAAACTTCATTATACTTTAAGGTATCCTAGTTGTCCCAGTCTGTCCATGAACAAGTATATAAGTCACATACTGCTGTGACAAAGAGTAATAGCAGGAAACCCTGGAAAATAAGCAAACAAAATGACAGTATTATCATTTTCCAAGAGGGGGAAAAGCTAGGGTCAGGCATGTGTCCAGGCATGGGGCAGGATATCAGGGATGCTCTTTGTACCACAACTACTTGTGCAGATAATATTCTTTATGCTTGTCAATCCATCATCACCAGAAAAAAGAAAAATCCTAGTAACTTTATGTAATAGAACAGATAAATTGTGGCTACATATCTTACTGGGAAATGTTTCTCAGCTTACCAAGGTGATTCTGGGATGTCCCTGACTACCATCTGCATCACACTGTGGTAACTCTTCAGCTGCACAGATGAAGGAGAAAAGGATTTTAGTGTCAAGTAATCATTTATGTTGAACATCAAAAAAAGATGGAAAAGTGGTTTACATGTAAAGGATAAATGATCATCATCAGAGTACTAAGCTCTGATAAACAATATTCAAACTCTGGAGTTACTAAAAGAAAACATGTTCGACTGCAAAACATTAAGCCAGATTCTGATCTCATGGTGTATGTTTCCAACAAAAACACTCATTTTTGACATGTCTGTTGTTATTTCCCCTGTATATTGCATACTACACACAAGCATCTGCAAAGGCTCCCCAAATTAAGCTCACTACTGCTGTACCAATTGAGAAGTTTCTTCTAACTGCTCCAGAGTATTCAGCTAATTGATCACCAATCTGATCTTGAGTAAGAAACATGACTTTACCATCATGGGAAGAGAATGTCTTCTGTATTCCAATGGAGGGGGGGGTGGGGGGAAAGAAACACAGAAGCAGACCTTAAATTTGAAGGGCTATGCAAAAGCTTAATTTGTTTGCAGACAGATACTAATTTTGATGCATATTTCAATTCAATATATATTCTACGAACTAATTATTTCTAAAAAGCCAAGTAGTTTCTCTTCCACACAAATCTGAGGTATTTCTTATGTCTGTCAATCAAAACTGCACGGGACATTCCCACTCTTGGGCTTTGGATCAGGTTTCTCTAAATACAGTGAGCTCATGCTCCTTATTTACAGGGACAGGGGAGCAGAAAGTGAGAGAACAGCATTCTCTGGGATAACTGCATTCCAACATCCTTGCAGCCCTCTTACCCACAGCTGCATACAGCATTTCTCTGCCAAAGGCTCCTACTATCCCCTTAATTCACCACTCAGCTGTTCATAGGACCCATTTCAGGCCAAAAAAAACTACAGCTGGAAACAGTTTAAATAAACAGTGTTTGTTAACCAATTTATTTAGACTGGAGTAGGCACAAGGCACATCCCCCAGGAAGAGGGGGAAGGGTCAGGAGCTGGTGGAGGAGCTGATTGAGGGGTGAGGGTGGTAACTTCACCAGCCAGCACAGCTGCAGTGTGAGGATGTGTCCACAATTTCAGTGTAAAATTAACTGTGTCCACTCAGTCCCCAAAATTACATGAGATCAGAAACTGTCTCACATTTTGCAGTCAAAACATGTTTTCTTTCAGTAACTTTCTACATTTTGAACACTGTTTATCAGAGCATAGTACCAGCTAATTAAATTTAATTTAGAAAAGTTGCACAGCAAGGATTTTATGACTTGAATAAAAATACACAGCTGGAGCTTGCAGATAGGAAGGAATCATAAGCCATACCTCCTGTGGAGCATAAGTGAGAATAAACTCATGATCTGCATTGGGAAGCAAAATTCCCTGCTTAGGATTTAGGGAGAAGGCTGACTCTGGGTCTTGATTGTTTTTGACCTCTGTAAAGTCTACAGTTTCTTCTGGTATTAATGGTTTCAGATTAGGCTTTGTTATCTGCCAGAAGAAGGGAAGTTCTAGATGGCTGCAAAGAAGTCAATAAACAACAGAAAAGCTATGATTAAAAAAATCAGGTATTTTTGAGTAAAATATACTATAAGAAACTGTTCAGATTCTTTTTCCAGGTAGGAAATTCCTCTCTTTACAGATTACAGGGGCTTGACTTCCCAGTTTTTGTGAGTCACAAAGCTGCTGAGGCATCATGGAGTCAGAGTATATAAATCATACAAAGAACATACTAATATGTGAAAGTAAATTCTATAAATGCCTAATCTAAGATAACACTTTCTTGCCTTATTTGAACTTGTCATGTAATCCAGGTTTTAGAAACTCTGCAATTCTTTTTTCAAAGATCTGGGATGAACAGGACCACTCCTGCTGACACCAGTACATTTGCCTTGGATCACTTCTGATGACCTACATCACATTCTGAATTTAATCCAAATGCAAGATGTGGTCTTTAGCATGTCAGCAAACACAATGGCTCCATCTAAAATTATAGCCATGGCTCTGCCCCACTCTCTGCAATCCAGAAAAGGTTGCTTAACTAGGTTGTTTCAGCAGAAGTGTATTCCATGGAATGTCTTCATGGGTTTGAGAATCTTGCTCATGCTGACCTCAAAAATTCTGCCTTAGTAAGGGAAAGAAAGGACACTGGAATTTGAAAGCATTGCTGATAAAACTGGATATTTACAATTTCTTGTATCACTTTCTGTAGAAGAAGGAACATTTCTTCTTCCTGCTTCTATGGAGTTTACTCTCAGCCTGGCCAGCTTTGTTTTATACAAATGCTGACACCAGATGTGCAGGGAGTGCTGTGGTGATTATAGCACAGAGAAAATGTGGAAATTGGCACAGTCACATCCTTTGTCAGTTTACAATATCCAGTTCACCAATCACACTTTCTTTACTCAAACAGTCTGTTCTGGCATTATGCATGTGTGATTTCCAGGCCACAAAATAAACTGCCAGATATTCACTGCTTGCAAATAGCAATTTAGATTAATGGTCCTAAGCCCAGCACTGACCTGCTCACTGCTTTGATGGTCTACACCCTCTATCTGCTGCAATCATGCACAAGTGTATTTCTGTTTAAGTCTGATTCTGAGCAAAATCAGGATGTCACTATGTTCAGTATGGTGTAACTGTCCATAAAGAGACATTAGTTGACTTCAAATTGAATTTATATTTAAATCTGTAAGGACTCAATAGCAGGAAACATGTGAGAGTTTTCATGTGAGTTAATTGCACTGGGCTCCCATTTTGATCCAGTGGAGTCCAGCATGTATTGTGAGTTTTCTACAGGAGGTGTCTCCAGTCAGAATTGTATGCTTGGAATTGTATGCTTCTATTCCCTGCACTATGAAAGGAAAAGAGTGCTTATCTCAGTTGCACAAGTATATGTAGCAGACATTTAAAATTAGATAAATCACCCTGTAAGTATTTCCTGCAACCATGTATATTTATGAATTTTTTGGTAGATTTACCTCTATTAAAGCAAATATATTGACCTTGGCTAATGGTTGCCATAACACCTGAACAATGTACAACATTCCTTGAACTTTAATTACCAAATAAGGTGCAAAAAGAAGTAAAGATTCTGCAAAAAGTTTATCAAGGGCACAAAGGTTTCTCCAGCTTGAGAGAGTACAGTATTACAATTGAGATCCCTAGCAGTATGTTCACATTGCAGAGCCTTACTCTGATAGCAGCTACCTACGTGGAGTTCCTTATAACCAGGATCTTCTCCTTAGAGCTCTGTGGGTTTTGGGGCTCAAAACGTATGAGGTGCTGTGCTGTTGCATCAGTGACTTCACCCAGCTGAGCTTTGCTTTCTCCACCTGTGACAAACAAAAGCTCCAGAGCAATCACCTCTCCAAGCCCTGGAAGAAATAATTTGGTATTGCTGTTTACCATCTGACTATTAATATAGTTCACATAATCAATAGCAAATATCATTCATGTTCATTATTGATTATATCTGGTGTTTCCTCAAGTTTCAGAACTGCAATGTGTTCATTGTACAATCCTGATGTTGTGTTTATCAACATGTATTTACAGAGACCTTCTGTTCATGAATTTTATAGACAGGAATTTCAGGGCCACGGCCTCAGCTCACTTACATCAGCATGGTTTCACTGAACTGAGCAGGGTGTTTGCAGTGGTTGACAATGTGGCTCCCAGATGTTTTGAGCAGTACATTAAAATCAAAATAAGCAGCAAATGAAGTATTAAAAAAAAAATCCAAAGTAAATACATGTGATAAAGTGATTCAGTAGATGACAAAGCAAGCCTCATGTTATAGCACTCACAGTTATATTACAGTACAAGCACCAACACTTGCAAGAATTTGAACTGGTTTCATTAGTTAATCCAAAGACTGCCTACCTCAAAAGGTCCAAATGTGCTTCATTTCTGCCCTGTTACAGCTCATGTTTCATAGCTTGTCAAGTTATCTTATTAACTTGAAAAGAGACGAGTTGCACCTGGAAACTGGTTTTCTTTTCTGTTACTTGGTGACATTTTACATTTGGATTTTTGCCTACTGAAGGTTAAGAGCTCAATGTTTTCTGAATCCAGTGTATCCATGCACTGGGAAGGAGCAGTAATAACAATGCAAAAAAAAAAAAAAAAAAAGAAAAAAAAAAAGCCAGCAGGGGACACAGTATTTGCTTAATCCAATGACATAAAATGTTACCATCACTTCATGCCAGCAATCACCATTCACATTATCTGAATATATATGGAATTAGAAAGCTGCTAGAAACAAACCTGTGACTGTAACATAATTGATTGGATAATTGTCACACAAAATGGTGAATGTTTGCTGTGAGGCTTCTGGCAAAGAAGGGAAAAACACTACCTGAAAGAGAAAAGAGAAATAACAATGTCTGTAACTGTTTTCTCTCCCCTAAGCAAGACACTTCAATTTGCAAATATTCCCTGAAGAACAGTTTTAGTAATTAGTAATTAAAAATAATACTTGCAAGAAACAGAGTAATTTTTTGCTCACATAAACCCGAACTTGCAAGGTCCAGCCAGGTCTTCTAAAATGATCTTGTTTGTTAATTTATTTGGTGAAGTAAAAAAACCTTTCTACAGCAGTTGGCACTAACCTGTACTGTTGCACTCTGCCCTGGAGCTAGCTCCAAAACAGCAGGCTGGATCCCAAAAGGATCCTGTATCACAAAATCAGCAGTGGCAGCCACCTAAGGCATTTAAACAAACAAACAAACAAGTTAATAAATTAAATTGATCAGATCGCTGTGTTTACAACACAGATTTACCTGAAACAGGCAGTTTTCTATATCAGTGTTTTACCTCTTACCATACATTTTTTCACACATCTCAAAAGAGTGGGGCTCATAAATATGGCTTAAATAAAAAAAAAAAAAAAAAAACACAGATTTACCTGAAACAGGCAGTTTTCTATATCAGTGTTTTACCTCTTACCATACATTTTTTCACACATCTCAAAAGAGTGGGACTCATAAATATGGCTTAACTGAAAAAAAAGCTCCCTGCTTTATAATGACCTTGTTGAAAACAGAAGAGAAAGTGCAGTCCCTGAAGACAAATAAATGACAGTGTCAGAAGCCCTAATATTCATGTTCACAGCAGAACAGCTCTGCCTGAGAGGGGCTCTGTCTGTTTCTCCATGCTTAAAACTCACTTTGAGTTGGAACTGTGAAGTTTCTGGAGGGACAACCTGGCCCATCTGCTCTTTCTCCAGCACCAAAAATGCCAGTCTACCTGTCCCATTTTATCTCCTTTGTCCCTCCCACTTAGGCCCTGTTTGTGATGGGGAGCTACAGACAAGACAGAGCAGGACTGGATTGCTGTGTCTACAGGTGCAGCAAGGTCAGTAAGGGACGTTTTTGTTGAGGAGGGAGAGGAAATTACCTCAAGCAATTCTAGAACTGATAGGATTTCTATTTGCTTCAAGGGCAAGGTTAAAGGTTGGGCCAGTTTTCCTTTCCTTCATCTATGCCTCAGTTTACCTCTCCCCTGAGCAAGACAAGCACTTCCACAGAAAACCAGAGCACAAGGAGGAGAGGAGGAGGTACAGCCATCCAGGGAGATTGGTCTTCAGGATAAAGGTGAATTCCTGAAGGAATGGCACAGTGCAGATGTCTCCAGCAAGGCCTTATGACTTCTGTGCTAATACAACATGACTGGCTCAAAAGGCCTTCACACCAGGGCACCCACACCATGCTGGGTCCAGTATTTCCCTTCTGATCACTCACCCCAGAATCAGGAGCTGGCCAGGCTTTCCCTGGCATTATAGAGAACTTCCCAGTCCTAACTCCCTGATTTCTGCACAAAATTGCTGTTGTTTTTATTCCTCCAACAAGGCAGGAACCACAGTCTATAAAGTCAGGCACTGCAAGGAGTAACACAGAAAATCAGACTCCAGAGAGAGCAAAGGCTGATGATTAAACAACTCTTTACAGACATTACAGCATGAGACCACGCCAGGTTTTGCAATCTTAAACCTCCTCAAATTCTTTCCAGTTCAAAGTTGGACAGTGTGAGATGTATATTTCTACATTCATCTTATATTTTAATGATGTAAGACGATCTTTCCTCCTTAAAAAAAAAGGAGGATAAAAAGTAAGATGATTTTTTTTTTTTAAGAAAAGCTCAGGATAACAGGTAAGATGAATTTACAAAAAATCAAAGCAAATTTTTGTGAAAGCAATCCTGCTTATTACAGTAGAACTTAGATATCTGAGAGGTGCAGGTATACCATACCCATATAAAATTAATTTCATATTCCATGAACATTAATTAATAGCATCAAGTAGTTATAACAAAATCATAATTCCATAATATTTATAATTAGTAATTACAATTGGGAGTTCAGGAATCAACAAAACACAAACCTAGAAATGAGGCCCCTACTCACTTCTCTAATACAGTGAGCAAGGAGAGCCTAAGAGGGCAAGAACAAATAATTGAGGAAAAATCCAACAGGATTACATTTCAATAACTAATAAATCTGGATAAGTGAAAATGAGATAGATATCAAAATGTAGAAACTGCACTGCCAATTTTTTCCACATTTGTTTTGTGACACAAAATTGAAGACAGTCAAATAAAAAAAAAAAACAAGTCTGCTTAACTTTAGAGAAAATTAGTATTTGGACACTACTGACATGTTAATACTGGAAGTGATACTTTAGCTTGGATTGGGATGACAAAAGATTCTGATACTTGACTCTCCACTAATATATGATCTTCATACTCTCCCAGATATTCAGGAATAAACTGGACTGTATACTGGCATGCCATCCCAGGAGCAATCATTCCTCCCTTTCCTGGATATTTTCCTTGAGGAGAAAAATAAAAACAAAAAAAAAGTCAGAAAATTAAAAAAAAATTAAACCTCCCAAAATTGGCTGCAGTATTTATGATCACATCTTCCTCTGGAAAGATGCCTGTAAATTCCCCCCAATTATTGCCTAATTCAAGCTGATAAAAAGGGATGAGCACAAGAGGCCTGGCAGTGCAATCTGGAAACATGCACATGTTCCAGGGAGCTCAAAGATTGCTTTGTCTGAAATATACTCCTCATAAACACAGAAAACAGCGAAGAGAAACTTAAGAGACATTACCCAGTTTTGCTTTACCACAAGACTAAAGGGCTTCCATGGAGGCACCTAACTTCTAAATATTCCTCCAGTTCTTGGGGTATCACAATCTCCCTAGGCAACTATCCCAGTGCCTACCCTACTGTAAGAAAGAATTTTTGTAATTTTCCTCTAACCCATCCCTCTTTATTGCAGTGTGTTATTTCTTGCCCTCTCCTTGTAATTTTTTCAGTGGAAACTCCATCTGTTCCTAGATGAATTTTGGGTAAGATTCAATCTAGGTATTCCAGTGACACATTTCAATCTAACATCAAACACTTTCGTTTAGTCTTCTTGAATTCCTCATTAGACCATCTCAATCTGCTTCTGAGTTGCATGTGAATGGCCCTAAGTCAGCTGTCAGTTTCTAAAGAACTGAGCACTATGGAAAACAGAATATCTCTGAAAAATCTTTGTTAGAGCAGGTAAATTAGATTTTGTATGTGTTAAGATTTTAAAGGCAGAAAAAGAACCCTTACCTGGCCAAATGAAAAATACTGAAGTAGAGGGAGGGATAAGTCTTACATGTTGACCTGTTGAAGTGATGTTCCGTAGCTCTACAGTCATCTTCATTTAAAAAAAAAATGCTACATTGTAATTACAATCACTCATTAAAATATTTGCAATTCCCTGGTACTACTGCTAGGACTAACTATGTCATCATCACAACCAACCCCAAAATCCCAGTTTATTCAATAGAGGCTGAATCAGTACCAAAACAGTGCAATTCCCTGGTACTACTGCTAGGAGTAACTACTTCATCATCACAACCAACCCCAAAATCCAGTTTATTCAATAGAGGCTGAATCAGTACCAAAACAAAGCAGAGACTGAGAGGAGCCCTTTTTGTCTTCACTGGTTTGTGTGTCAGTGGCAGGTGTGATGGAGTATCTTCAAGGAAGTTAGAGGGTCATAAATTCCATATACAGAAGAAACTCAGACTTTTATTAAAATTCAGAAAGGCTAAACATTGGGTGAAATATGTAGATCCTGATAGGATATAATTCTTCAGGGAGGCAGAATTAACTCTCTACAAAGAACCTTCTCACCTCATAAACCTGCCCAGCTTTATCATACAAAAACAGGACAGAAGGTGGACTGGCAAGAAACACAGGAACAAATGAGGTATCACTGAAAGATTAAAAAAAAAGAGAGATTATCTTACTTCCTGTTTATATAAATACTGATAAAGTAAGAAATTGCAAAATGTCTCCTTTGGCAAAACTAAAATGTCATACAGACATACTGTGTTATTAAGAGACTATATAAGAAATTTAGCTCAAAATATCTCTGGGTAAATCCACAGCAATTCTATAGTGGAGCTCTGTGCATTCCAGCCCAGAATCCAGAAATTGCACACACTGCATACCCTTTGGTATCTTCTGCTTTTCTTCTGGCTATGATTTCTTCCACTTTTTCTTGAGAAATTACAAGAGATTTGCCTCCATCCAGAGTATTTGGTGGGAAAAAGCGTGGATTCTTCAAGTAATTCTGTCTTTTCTCAAGTCTGGAGAGGTACTCATTTAATTCCTCTGCTTTCCAGGACTTACTCTCTTTCCTGGCTTGTTTCTGTGAGTCTTTAGTTTTCTTTGAAAAACAAGAGTGCACAGTGCAACATGAAACACAGTGATTTTGAGGATGAGGAAAAAGGGAGCTGCACATGTGTAATTAAAGCTACACAGCAATGATAACTGACATAGAAATAAAGTATTTCTCCTTTTTTTAACAGAGTAAATATAAGTACTGGTGTCAAATCAACAATGGGTCGATATTCACCCTTTGCTGCAGGAAGAGCAACAGGCCCTACAGATGAGGCAGACTAAAATTAACTTGTAAAATGTACCTTACTGATGGTTTTAGCCTCAAGGCTGGAGTCTTGGACAGAGGACAGAGCTGAAGATGCACTTGTCACACTGTCAGTTAAGTAGACACTCTCATCCAGTGAAAAAGCACGTTGTTTACGTGCCCCTTTCAGGTATCCAGGTTCTGATTCTCCTGCAATTCAAAGAAAAACAAAACTTCTGTAAGAGGAGAACATGAACAACAAATATTTAGTCTAAGCATAGGTGTATGAGTTTACTTTAAGGCTTGTTGCTGGCAAAAATCCTCAAAAATTTAATGTACCTTTAGAATTTATTTTCTACAAATGAAGCTTATAAGTTTTAATAATAAAGTTTTAGAAGCACTAATTAAACAGGCTGCATACACTTATATTACTCCCAGAAAGATATGTTAACCTTATAAGGAAAGTGAGATTTTTCACTTTGTTTGGAATTACAATGGAAAAAACCAAAACACAGATCTTGAAATCTGTGACTAAGTTGATTACTCTGAAATGTTTGTTTTGGCTTGACTGAAAAACTTCATTTCAATGATCCTAAAACCTTTCATCTTGGCTCACACATAAATAAAAGCAGTCGTCTTGACATTGTCTGAAATATTTTCCTTACTGATCTTTATGTGCAAATAAAATCAATATATTTCCAGAACTGGAAAACTTTAAACCCTAAATAAAGAATACAGTTTTATTTCACTGAAAATTGTTTTTACTTTAATGTAACTACTTCCCTTCTCTAGATACAAGATGCAGTTGCAGCTTTTGTTCTAATGAAATTGGATGGAGACAGAACACTAATGCAGTGTTTGTGTGAGATGGGAAGAACTGTAAAAAAAAGTGCAATAATGATCAAATATCATATTTAAGAACATCTAAACTCAGTAGTTTTGAATTTATCAATTATACTTTGAAAATGTGTTCTTCATGGAATCTTATGCTTAAAATACTTGAATCCCTTCTGCTTTGGCAGAAAACTATAAAAATATACATCCTCCAATGCTTCAAATATAGAGTATTCTAAAAAGTCTAAATTACTTTCTGCTTCAAAAGTTACCTTTTGGTGCTTTAGCAACAGGTAATTTCTCAGTGATGTAATCCACAGGACAGATTAAATTATTTTTTCTGAGAAGTTCATTGTCCACAATCCACTGAAAAGAGGATGCCACTGCAACAGTAAAGCCAACAAACAAAAAAAGCAAAATATTAGCCCCTTCAAAGATTCTATCTTGATCAATCCAAAGTAATGTTGCTTTTACACCTCATCCCTGTCAGGCAATATTATTTTTGTAGAAAAGAATATTATATAGAATAGTAGATATATTTTTTTTAGGAAATAATATTATAGAAAAAAAATCTGGTATTTTAATTGCAAAACTTGGACATGCATCTCCACAATTCTAAATTCAGTTCAAACCCAGCTAAGCACCCATTGGAGAAATACTTAATCTGTTGCTGCTACATATCAAGGTAGGTATGCTTGTAATATTTAGGTGGCAACCCCTCAATCCAAATTTAACACCTTGAACATGACCTAGTCGTTTAGTTTCTCAGTGTTAAACAGATGTTACTCAACTTGAACCTCTGCACAAAATCTTTCAAAGTTGCTCTGTTGATGTAAAGCCAACCCCAAGTTGGGTGTCCAGGTACCAGAAGCATGTACTGGGGAGCAACATTCCAGAATCCTCACCTGGAGGCAGCCCCAGTTTATGGAAATATTTCCCTGCACGAATCTTCATCTGCTTTAGAACCCTTTCCTCTTCATCTTTTGCTCGGGCCTGGGCCTGAATGATTTCCTCTTCTGCTTTGTCAGCTTCTGTCAGTCGGCTCTTGCACTCAGCCAGAAGCTGCCACAGGCATGAGTGAATCAAGAGAAATTTGAGCTGTTACAGGCAGAGGTTTTCTTTTTGTCTTTGAGAGGTAAACATAGACATATTAGTAAAACATCACCACTTTACAAGCATCAACTGGCCTGCTAAAACACTGTCATTCACAAAACAGAAAAAAAACCACCTGTGGCTCAAACCATCCAGCATCAGCCTCTATTTTTATGCACTGACAACAGCTATTAGAGTGATGACAAGATAAGAAACCTGGGCCACTGGTCAGCAGGTACAGGGAAAAGTTTTCAGCCAGTACAATAGGCATTTAAAAGGCTACTGCTTTTACTGGTTGTACTCTGTGTCTGGAAAGCCAACTAGAGATAACAATATCATGAAGGATCATGTGACTATTAACTTACTTGAAAGGTTCTGTGGGAAACTGTGCTCAAGTAAATTTCCATTAAAAAGTCAATTGTAGAATCAACACTTCCCTTTAAATTTTATTTTACAGAAGATCTAAGTAGTGGCTAAAGAGCTCCAAACTCTGACTTGGTTTGGACTTTTACCTTCTCTAGCTCATCTGTGTAACTGTCTTGATAAACACTGTCTCCTCCTTGGGACTTAATCCAGTTTGTTGCCATGTCCACCTCAAAAACATCTCCAGTGTACAGGTCCTTAAAGGCTCTAGCCAGCACATGGGAGATATCCTGGGGAAAGAAAATAAGGATGTTTAGAGCTTAAAGCAAGAGACAGGATGGAAAAGGTACCTGGAAAGGGGATGTGTGTGCATATGAACACTGAGATGAGGATGTCTGTGTGTGTGTGTGTTTGTGGGGGACTGTGTATCTGTGCTGGCTGGACATGTAGATGATGATGATGGACACAGTTCTCTGTGTGTGAGTGTGTGTGGTGGCTTGTGCAGGGATGAGGCAGTGTGAGTGGGGAGAGTGTGTGGGAGGAAGATATGAGTGTTGTACAGGTGATTTGTGTGTGTGTCAGTCCTTGTGCAGGGCGTGTACTTGTGCCCCAGGGTGTGTGAGGCTGTTTGTATGGGGGTTTGTGTGTGTGAGGCTGTTTGTACGGGGGTTTGTGTGTGCAGGGGTGTGAGAGGCTGTTTGCAGTGGGGTCTGTGTGAGGCTGTGGGGGTGTGTGTGAGGCTGTTTGTATGGGGGTTTGTGTGTGCAGGGCTCTCTGGGTGTGAGGCTGTTTGTATGGGGGTTTGTGTGTGTGAGGCTGTTTGTATGGGAGTTTGTGTGTGCAGAGATGCAAGAGGCTGTCTACAGCAGGGTCTGTGTGAGGCTGTGGGTGTGTGTTTGTCAGGCTGTTCATGGCGGGGTCTGTGTGTAAAGCTGACTGCAGGGTGCTCTGTGTGTGATGCTGTTTACAGGGGAGTCTGTGTGTGCAGGGGTGTGTGTGGGTGTGTGTGCGTGAGGCCGTTTGCTGTAGGGAATCTCCGTGTGTGAAGCTGATTGCACGGTGGTCTCTGGGAGCAGAGTTTCTGTGAATGCGTGTATCTGTGTGTCCCAAGGGGACAGGTCTCTGTGTGTGGCTGTTTTCAGGGGCTGTGTACAGGGCTGTGGTGCTGCTGGGGGCTACGCTATTTCTGCCCGTGCTGCCCAGCCCCGCTGCGTTACCTGGGGGTCGCCGCTGCGGCTCCCCTCAGTCGTGCCCAGCCCGGCGCCGGAATCCTGCATGTTAGATTTGCGGCTCTCCTCAGCCATGCCCAGCCCGGCGCTGTGATCCGCTGTGCCGATATTCGGGCCCTCCTCAGCCATGGCCGGCCCGGCCCCTCCTCATCCTCCCGGCACCGCCGTTGCCGAGTGACCGTGCGGGCAGGGCACGGCCTGGCGGGGCAATGGCGGTGCCCTCCCTCCCTTTCCCCGGCGCCATCGCCCCTCACAGCCCCGCCGGCCCTCAGGGGGGCTGAGGGCGGCACCCCGAGGCTCTGAGGGGCTCGTAGTCCCTCTCTTCCCTGCTATGTATTTGCGATCTTCTGACGATCAGCAGCCTCGTGACTTAATAAGAAATAAAATATTGACTTGAAACCTGCGAAGGGGATTTGGACATCGCGGGGATTTCTCGGCCTTGCACCGCTGTGCAGGTCGCGGGTGGGAGCTGAGGGAAGAGGCTGAATCCTCTCCTGAGGGCCCACACGTGGGACGAGGAGGTTGGGCTCATCCCTGCCGCTGGAACCGGCCTGGGAGATGGGAATATTCATCAGCAGCCCCAGCCCATCCATGGTCCCGCTCTGCCTGCGGCGCCTTGGCTGTATACACTGGTTGCTAACAACAGGCTCCGCTGAATCCGGTGATATTTTCCATAGAAACCATCCCGGTGTAGATTTTTCTCCTTGTCCTGCTGCCTTTTTATTCTTTCTTTCTTTTTCCTCCCCCTCCTCCACTCTTTTTGCTCAGAGTGAAGGAACCTGACTGTGGTCCCTGGGTTTCTCCATCACTATCAGGGTAATTTGGCTTTATTGGTGGAGTTGGGCAATGTTACACTCTGAACGGAAAATAACTATGGCAAAAATAATTGGAATTTACCAACAGGTGTTTTTCCACCAGCAGATAAGCCAAAGGCAGTGGGTGTAAACCCCACGGCAACCATGGGGGTGGTTGAAATTCAACTTGGATTTTTTTTAGGTATATGGCACATGTGCTTGAGACTTCAGGGTGTCACAAGCTTCAGATCCTCAGCTCACCAAAGTCTGTGTTTGGAATAAAACACCAAATTAAAGCCAGAGGCACTGCTGTGGTTTTAATTTCCCCATGCAAAAGGGAAGGTTGCCCAAGAGAAAGCTTGGCAAATCTGCAATATCCTGTTCCAAAGATTAAGGCAGAGAAATCACAGATGTCTGACAAGGATGGGACCGGGTACTTGTGCTTTCTAATAGAAAAGGTTCACAGCTTTCAGAGAATCACAGAAGCACTAAGGGTGGAAAAGATCTCTAAGATCATTGAGTCCTGCCATTACTCCACTGCTGAGAACACCACTGAAGCCTGTCACCAAGTGCCACATCCACACACTTTTTGAAGGCTTCCGAGAGGTGGTGACTCCCCCACTGGCTTGAGCAGCCTATTCCAATGCTTGATAAACCCTTTGGCAGAGATATTTCCCCTAATATTCAACCTAAACCTTTCCTGGTGCAACTCAAGACCGTTTCCTCTGGTCCTGCCCTTATTCCTGGGAGCAGAGCCTAACCCCCCCGGCTGTCCGCTCCTGTCAGGGAGCTGTGCAGAACCAGAAGGTCCCCCCTGAGTCTCCTTTTCTCCAGGCTGAACCCCCCCAGCTCCCTCAGCTGCTCCTTTTTCCAGCTTGTGTTCTCAAACAATTTTGTTTCTGTGCAGGCTTGTAGGTTCTCTCCTTTAAAATTCACTGTGTGCACATTTAAACACGTTTCCGTATTAGAAGTCCAACTTTTCTCATCATGTGCTATTACAGTTGATTTTAACATCTGTTTGCTAACTGGAACGTTAGTAAGATCCAGCATTTTAAAAAAGAATTCTTTCCCAGCCTTTAAAATGGTGAAGTAAAGCAGATGTTTTTGTTTAAAACAGTATATAGAAGCACATGAAAACTGACTGTGGAAAAAACTTTCTGTACTTTCATCTTTACTGTCTTTCAGTAACTTGCCAAGCACATCATCTCAGCTTAGAAGCTGGATTTTGTTTTTCAAAGTCTGGAAATGAAGGTGAGATCCGTCTGCCCAGAAGCCAACTGCAGGATCAGGAGGAGGGTTGTAAACCACTGTTCCAGACCAGTGCACAGTTGTTTCCCATATGACAATGGGATATTTTTCCTTAGATTCCCATATTTATGCCATCATCATTTACTCAGATAAACTTAAAAAATACATGCCACAGTTCCTATTGTAAAACCGTTTAATTCACATATCAATATGTCACAAAGACACATTTTCATAAAAATATGATGAACATTAAGAACAATTTGCATCTATATCATCCTCTTTATCATCGTTACAAGATATTTAAGTTCCAAAGGCTGAAGAGAGATTCATGCATGTAGGGAATGAAAAAAAAACCTAAAACCCAAACAGCAACTTTAGCAATTTTATCGTACATTTATAGGCATAAATATACAGGTATAAATATTTATATGTGTAGATATACACACCTTCTCTAATTGCTATGTATGACTTCTACCAGGTGTTTTACCTTGGATTTCCCCTCTGTACCATGTAAGGCTGAATTTTGTGGTGGGTTTTAGGTTTGGATTGGATGTGTGGATCTGACCAGACTCCCAAGAGCCCCACCTTGTTGCAGCGTGGAGGACAGGGGGATTTTTCTTGGAGGAAACTAATCTGAAACTGAACTCTCCAGGAACACCTGATCTGCTCCATCAGCTAATGGGCTCTCAGTCTACAGGACCAGGAACAAGCTAACTGGAAATAAAATATGCCCAAATGCCTGCCACAGACCTTAGAGGAATCATAAATTCTGCTAAAATACAGATCAGTCCACTTTTTAAAGCAGTCTCCATGTCTTTTCAGGATCATATTGCTTTTCTGTATTTATTTTCACACTCCCCAGGTGGTCCCTACACATTCTTTGTTATCCTATGGGGACTGTTCAAAGTTCCTCTGTTGTCCAAACCCCTTCTTTCTTCTGGCAGCCACATGATCAGAAAAAGTCCTTCCTGTTGTAATCTAACAAAATCAGAGTTCTGGAGGTGATTTGTTCAGGCATGTAGGTACCAAATGACACTATGATAGGACAAGCCCAGCTCCTTTTTTTCTCCTTGTTCTAAGACTGAAAATAACATCTTTGCATGTAAAATAGCTGGATGTGATTTAAATACAAACAGGGAGCTCAGTTACTGAGCAAGAGGTAATGTGGATATAACAGAATTGCAGAGTGGAACTCTATCTTACATTTTTTACAAAAATATCAAGCTCTATACCAGTTTTATTTACCTTACTCCTCTTTTATAAAAAATATAGATAGGTGTAATGTCCTGGGTCTGTTAGTCAGCCAGTACATTTCTTATTATTTCTTTATTTATACCCAATGGACTACTGTGTCTGACTAACTAAAATCTTAAATTATTGTGAACATGTATTCCTTAAATGTGCAAACACTGGACTAATAATAGCATTCTTTCAATGCTTGGGGAAAAGTTCCTACATTTATTTCCTAGTGATCCCAAAATCTTCACTAATGTCAATGGACTTCTTTAGAGAGGGAGCACTCATTATACTGATTCCACTCATTTGGTTTTGAAAGTTTTCTTTGAAATTATGAAATTTAGGACACTTAAAAATAAAAATCAAAGGTTTTCCCCCCATACAACAGTATGGATTAATTTAGAAATATGTACCTATTTCAAATGTAAACATAATTCAAATATATATATATATATATATACATACACACACATATATATACAAAGATATACAAAATAGCCTTCGCTTGTATATTGATTTTTTAAAAAAAAAAAAAACCATAAATTCTTGGGGTTCAGAATGCATAAAGACTCCACATTTTTTAAAATATTTTTAGCATTTTCTGGCAACAAGTCCTGCAGGTTTCAGGTGGCATTCTTTAGATGTGGAAGATCAAGGGAACTGACACTGCAGTGCTGCCTTTTTCTCTGGAGGTACTGCCCTGATTTGTATGCCTGCATGTGGGCAGCAGAAAATTATTTCTAATTATTTATAATATTTTGCTAAGGTTTTTTTTGGGCAACAGTATGGATTAATTTAGAAATATGTACCTATTTCAAATGTAAACATAATTCAAATATATATATATATATATATACATACACACACATATATATACAAAGATATACAAAATAGCCTTCGCTTGTATATTGATTTTTTTTAAAAAAAACATAAATTCTTGGGGTTCAGAATGCATCAAGACTCCACATTTTTTAAAATATTTTTAGCATTTTCTGGCAACAAGTCCTGCAGGTTTCAGGTGGCATTCTTTAGATGTGGAAGATCAAGGGAACTGACACTGCAGTGCTGCCTTTTTCTCTGGAGGTACTGCCCTGATTTGTATGCCTGCATCTGGACAGCAGAAAATTATTTCTAATTATTTATAATTTTTTGCTAAGGTTTTTTTGGGGGGGTTTCACGAAGTAATTCCCAGAAGTGCAGTGATGAATGATTCACTTTGACATTGCTGCCCTCCAGTGGTCCTGTTAAGGTTTCCATGTTTTCAGGAAAGCCTTTCAAAGCAGACATTGCATTAAATCTTTGTTTTGATCAGGCAACTGAGCAGGCATTAATATTTCCATCTATGCAATCTGGCATATTATATCTTACCAGTGTATTGGGTAAAATGCTTTTCGGTGGCAAAACTATGTATTAACTTGTAATTGCTGCAGATGCGGCCAAACAGGTATGACTGGAATGCAGTTCTCCTTTGCATGTTACCCTGGAAGTCACTCCTTCTTCCTTCTTCTTGAAGAAGAGCTAAAGCCAACCTCCACAGAATGACTTTTAAACCCAAGTAAAATTTGCAGATGAGGAAAATGGAGAAATAACCTTTCACTTTCAGGTGGAAAGTGCCAAAGAGCTCTGTTTCTAAAAGGTGGTTTCTCCCATTGCACTGCTTTCCTGTCCTGCAAATTTTTTTTTTTTCTTCAAATGTCCTGGTTTGGAGATAGTCTGTGTCTTACAGATGTGACTTTGCTGGATGTGCTGTGGTCATTTCCAGTTCTCCTGGATGTTTTTCATTATTTTGTCACCTTTTCCTGACATGAGCCAATCATGTCACTTGCTTCCAGTATACATTTCCTGATTTTA